AAGGGCTAAAATGTTTCTAATCCAAGAAATAATTTATTTTATGTCACATTTGTCGTCATTGACAGCATTGGTTTTGTCTGACTTTTATACTAAGCCTTGAATTAATTGCTCTCAATTAATCTCTTCCAGTCTTTGATAGCTTATTTATCAGACAGGGAAAGATAGATTTAATGGTGCTTGCTTGAAACAGATTCTTTAATTGGAAACACCAGAGTGTTTAGCTCACTTTGTGTTCTAGCAATTAAGGACAATTTGGAGAAGGGGTTCTCCCCCCACTTGCACTATTGTCTCCTTGATTAGATTTCCAAAGAAGTAGACAAAAGAAATGACAATACTACCTGGCAATATTGGTTCAAATAAAAGCCCAACAGCCGAATTACTTACTATGAGAAATGTGAGCCATCCCCATCCATTTCAGCATTGTCTTATATTTATTTCATTTTATCTTTGTCTCCTGAGCAAAGCACATGGCTACATTTCTTACAAAATGCATGTCCACCACGTTCTTTTCCACAATTATGCATCGCTCCAAATAAGCCAAATCAACAGGAGAAATTATTTTTCTTGATTAAGGACCCACATTTCTCTGGGGATGAAATGAAACAAACAATTAATCTTTCCTTATTTGTTCTCAGAAAGAGCAACATTCTTCATGTGTACAATAGCCAGGTACCTGTGGCAGCTAGTCGGCAGCAATTAGGCTTGAGCTGAAAATGAATGGACTTAAGTCAGAGAGCCTAATCTGCTGAGAGTTTCTACTAGAGGGCAAGGTTACGCTGGGAAAATTCCCTTGTTGTGGAAATACTGTTAAAAAATTACCTCTTGACTTCGGCATAATTAACCAAGCTTGGGAATTTATATGAACTAGGTAATTGGAAAGAATTAGCAAGAGATATATACATTAATCTTCACCAGTTACAAGGTGTTTAATGAAATTAAAGTGCCAGATCTACTTCATGCTTTATTTTAGTTTATGCAAACTTTAGGAATTTCACCTGTAGATCAAGAATATGCAAGGAGGCAATGAAAATGGAGCACATGCAAGAGAATAAAAGAAAAGCATCTTTCTTATTGGCATTCATTCTTACTATTCCTTGCTTCTTTCCATATCAACAATAGAATCAAAGTACTTTTTGTGAGTTGTTTGTAATGAAAGTCTAACATGCCTTCAGCAAAACATACTAAATCCAAGTTAGTAAAATATTAAAATGTTGAAGACTTTTGTATAATTTAGCATTGATAACATAGATGATATTTAAGAAAGACAAACTGTATGACTGATCTTTTTTCTCAATACATATAGATTTTATCCACCTTTTAAAATAATTTCTATATTTCTTGCTAATGTAGTGTGAAGTATAACAACTGAAATTTGCTTCTGCTTATCTAATTCTTATAACAAGAAGAAGGCTCTGTAAGTTGACTACAACACTGAACAGAATTAGAAAACTTCAGGTCCCAACAAAGAGAACAACAAAACAAGGATTTCATTTCTCATCAAATAGAATAAAATGAAACACAATATTCTTTTGAAATGTAAGTTTATCATCCATTATTGTAAAGATGTACCCGATCATTTTCTAACTCAAAGTGCAACAATGACACCAATCATCTCAATAAAGTACAATCTAGTTTTCAATTTAAGTTTTGCACTAAAACTATTTCAGTCTACTCTCCCATGTGAGACAAACAGAAAATACAACTTTATTCCTATTTTGGAGAAGGTATTGAGAATTGGTTGCTAATTGACTATATTATCCAGCCACCTCCAAAGCATAGATTGGTGGCAAAGGACTTACCAGTTTCCAACATAGGCCCTATTCCCAAACATTAAAAAAAAACCTCCAACTAAGCTAAGTCAAAAGTAGTTCACTATCTCATTTTCAAATAACCTACATTTTGTAGTTCCTTCAACCACAGCTCAGAAATACTCCATGTTTGCTGCAGAGTCCACTGTTTAATCTTTAATACTTTAGATAGCTTGTAATCTGTACATTGTTTTTAAAAGTTATTTTAAAAAAATAAAACAAAAAAAGATTTGAGTTTGACTCTGCAAGAATTTCCCTCAGAGTTAAGTGAAAATTATTGATATTTCTATTGTTAGCAGAATTTGCTGTTTCCCCTGTTGAAAAAGCATTGTTATATGTTATCAGATAGTTAAAATAAATACTTAATGAAGCTTTGTTGGTGTACTATATATCCTTCATTTATACTCTTACCAACAATGATGGATTTAAGTTATTAACAAATCAAAAAAGATGGATGTTCTTCTGCTTTTCTTAATCTTCATCATCATCTAGATCCATTTAAAGATATGTGGTGCACTAACAAATTTAGTTAAGGTTTCAATAAAATCAGTAAAATAATCTACCCTGTTACATTGAGTTTGCATTGATCAATAAAATCACTTGCACTAGGAAAGTACTGTTAACCACTGACAATCCTAGCCATTAATATTATTTAACACACTCCTCACAATCTTTAATGAGGATAAAGAACATTTTGGTTCTTCACACTTATCATACTGCTCTTCCCAGAGATCTGTATAAATAAAACACAAAAGTGATCATTTAAAACTAATCAGGGTTTCAGAGGGACAAGGACACTGAATAATTTCTGCTAAGTTTTCTGTGTGATTAATAGAAGTCCTCAGTGGCTTTCTTAAAAAATAAAAATAAAACTGAAGTTAAATATATTTGCATATATTCTGAGTAAATTTCTATAGTTTACACCATCAGAAAGCCCATTTCCAGATATTTATTTCCTAATACAACAAATAAAAACCCTCAGAAGCTTTTACTATAAGTCTAACATATTTTGTTCAGTATCAGGTTGAGAAAGGCTAATATATTGTTAGTTGAAATAGTATATTCCTAAGTTCTAGGTTTGGTGACATAGAAAATGTTACAATTACAATATTTATTGGTGATAAAAGTATATATGGAACTTCATTAAGTTACAAAATATATGTATTAATAACCATGCAAAATCATTGGGAAACAGGGAAACGAGGTGGAAATTGAATTATAATTTTTCCTCTTAAACTGAGGAAGGTAATTTCTGAATAGAAAATAAAATTTCATTTTATTTACGTGAATAAGTCTAAACAGGATTTAGATAAAAGGAAAATAAAAGCTTTCTTCAAATCCTTGAAGCACTGACAATGACTGATGGGGTTATTTTTTTCCCTTCCAGGAGTAAGAAAATTCTTGAATAAATTCTGAACACAAGTTAAAAGATGGGGAGTGTGAATTCTCATGTTTATCCAAACAGTGCCAAACTAGATTAACCTAGTAGCTTTCTAAGGTATGAATCTACAACTTGTAGCCAATATGAACCATTCTGACCCCAAGAGACTACTCTTCACTCTATTTTAAGTTTTGTTTTACCAACTGTGTTGTTAAAATTGGAAAAATGGTAGAAGAAGGAATTTGTCTTTAATTTATTTCCCTATCTATCTACTAGGACTACTCAAGGAATCTTAAAAGAACTCTTTAAAATACTGTGTTGTTGAAACATTTACTTCTAGATCTCATGAATAAAAATAACACATCAGAAATGAACTAGCTGATTCTTTCTTCCATTCCACATACCTGGAGCAGACCACAATAGTATCAGACTGACAACTTACATAGCTTAATGTCCCTACACAAATGGCATTCAACACAAGAACATTAGACACGCACATGACATAATATACCGTATTTATCGGCGTATAACACGCACAGGCGTATAACACGCATCTTCATTTTAAGAGGGAAATTTCACCCCCACTCCCACCCCACGCGCGCGCTTCAATCCACAGTGTCCCATTCTGCCTGCCTGCCTGCCTGCCTTAGTTTCTGGTTGTTTGGGAGCAGCTTCGGCTGAGAATAATAACTATTCGCCTCTTTTACTCAGCCGAAGCTGTTCCGATTCAACCATTAACGAAGGCAGGCAGGCAGGCAGAACGGAGCACGGCGGGCGGGCGGGCGGGCGGGCGGACGGGGTGGGGGAGAAAGGCGACAGGAAAAGCCCCCCCCCCCGCTTCTTTGAAGCAGTTTCTTCCTGTGCTGGTGGAGGAGCGAGACAGCGACTGAGAGAGCTGACCCAGAGAGAAGGACAGGCTTCGGTTGCTTCCTCCCTCCCCTTCTTTCATTTGTGTCCTTGATCCCCGATCCCAGCAGCATTCACCGAAGGCTTCTTAACATTATATCGGCGTATAACACGCATACATCATTTGCCCCCTATTTTCAGGGGGAAAAAAGTGCGTGTTATACGCCGATAAATACGGTACATACTGTCATTTGCTTTCCTACAGATACTAGTGATTTTTCATTGTTTACTACATGACTGCAGGGGAGAACTTCTTCTATCCTTTAGATCAGGCCTGTCAAACTCATGGCTTGTGGCCTGAATGTGTCACACCCTTGCCACATCCACGCCCAGTTTAGCAAAGGGAAAAAAGTCATTATACATCATGTGATGTTGCCATGACGACGTGAGTTTGACACCCATTTTAGATGCTCTGTCCAAGTTTTTAGAATACAAGCAAACTACGATTGTAAAATCACAGAAATTATCCAAGAATAGAAGGCAACAAGAAATATGAGCAGAATAATGCTTTCCTTCTATATTATTTCTCCAAGCACCTTCGGTTTCTTTATATGTTAAACAGAACATTTTAATATTAATGTTACAGTGGATAAAGAGTATTAGATAAACATAGAACAACCTGAATCAATGCTATTTATTTAAACCAAGTTTTTCTCTTTGCTATAACCATGTCTTTGTCCTTTGCAAATGACAATTGGGACTGCCTTTAAAACAATATATTTGTAAAAAGCTCAGATATAAATATTTTAGAGAGACACAAATAATATATTGCTAGCGTGGTTGTGTGTAAAATAACAGCAGACTTCAATGATCACTTTTAAGTACAGCTTAAAGCACCTGGCATTCAAAATTGTAATATTGCTTGTGAGGAAAGATTTGTCTGTTCACTGTTAAAAATAGCTTACCTGTAAATAAAATTCTAATCCTTGCCGACGCTGTTCCAAAACTTTGGGCACCCAGTTCCTCACATGCTTTGAAGGGATTTCTGGAGTTCTTATGAATTTTTTAAGCTAAAAATATGAGCAAAGAAATAAACTGTCCGATCAATATAACAGATTCTTTAAAAATAAAAACTTACAACATGAGAAATAAACAAATTGGGAAAGAAGACAAAAAATCAATAAACTAAGTGTTGCTATGAAAAACCTCTATGACAATAAATGGGCTTATTCAATTATAAAAGATATTGGTGCTGCAAATTTGAAATAAACACTTGTAACAGCTAACAGACTGGGCAATTTCTTAAGTTGGGAACTAAACATTTTGGTATGTCAGCTAAATACTAACTAACCAATATACAACTCTAATAAATCCTAAAGAATGGAGTTTAACTCTTATTTTAGCATGTACTCTTGAGCATTAAGTTTAAAAACATAATCTTAAAAACTGTACTATATGGTCAAAATGCTTTTCTTTTCTTGCAGGATGGGCAATTTAGAAAACAGCAAATACAGAAAAATGAATTGTCTATGAAAAATACAAATGGTTTGGTTTTGAGAGAACATCTTATGGCAAGAATTTCAAAATCTAAAAAATAAGGAGACCACAAAAAAATGAATGAACTAAGTCTCAGAAATTACAGGAAAGGCAGACTGAGTGGTAGCAACGTGTATGAGTATATATTATTATTCCTCTCCCTTTTTGGCAGTGGAAATTATTAAAATGAAACAACTGTGATTTTCCTTTCAGTCTTCATAATTTGACAGAATTGAAAAAGTAGCTGAATATAAAAGTAAAAAAAAAAACCAAAGCGAGTTCTTTTATCGTATGGATTATGTTCACAGATTTCAGGTTCAAGTGATAGTCAAAATCATTAGCCAATAAGCAAAGTGTGCATTTCCAAAATTTGTAAAATTGACGCAGATTACAGAGACAAAAAATATTAATCTCAAAGCAAAAGAAAGTCACTTTTAAAGAACATACTTTCCAATTTTCTGGGTAGTATTCAAATTTGTATTTTTGTAGCAAAGTAACAAGGAATCTGCTTATTCTCCAAGATGTGATAGCACAGGTGTCACAGGAATGGAAAATGTTTGATGTGTGTCTGAGGTAAACGCCACTACATCTTGGGTAACATGCCATTGTTCACCAAAACCCAACAATTACTTAAAAGCACATCCCATTCTTTGTGTGATTTTCAGGGGCTGTGGATGAGTTGTGATCTTGTACAACTTCTAGAGGTCAAGCAAGAGGGCCATGTTCTTGCATGGCCTCTGGAGCCTGTGTAAATTCAGCAGGAATGGGATGTGCTTTCATGCAGTTCTGGAGGCTGCGGAGGCTGTGAAAGGGCATTTTCCAAAGCCACTTCAAAAACAAAGGCCTTGTGTGTCCTGGAGCAGCCTTGTGTGTCCTGGAGCAGCCTTGTGTAGGTTGCAGGGCCTGTTAACAGAAAGCAAATACCACTTGGAGATAAGTGGCAAGTGGCAGATAATGGGGAACAGTGGGCTGCAAGACAATCACACACTTGGGGAATGTCACAAGGTGGCCTTTTTGAATTGAGGCCTGAGATGCCGAAGCCCTGGAAGACTGAAGTTGAGGCCTCCTCTACTTTAGGCCCAGCTTTGGCACTGCCACATAGTGAGTTCAGTGAGATCTAGATGACCTGGAGATACCAGTAGTTGTTTTGTGTGTGTGTGTGTGTGTGTCACTTGCCAGCAGAAAAAAGTTAGGTATTTTCTGAATTTTTGACCTGCTAAGCCCAAAAGATTTGCCATCACTGTGCTAGGACCCTCAGATCTGACCTGCAAAAATTTAGACAACTGGAAGACAGCAACAAAGAAAAAGAAAAAAAGAAAATAAAATGTTAATTATTTGTGGCTATCTACTAGGCACCTCAAAGTGGAAAAATTATGATTGGCTTAAGTATGAAAGAATCTTCTACAACTACAAAATTATGGCTTTGTTTTGGCTGATTTATAGCCAGATTGATAAGTGAATATTCCTGTCCAGAGTTTATTGATGTTTTTAAAATGGGAAAGCGGGATATGAATATTAACAAAATCAATTCCTCTCCAAAAATCTGTAAGGGATCTAGTGATTGTGGTATATCTTGGCAATTGTGGCTTTTACGTGCCCTTGGATAAATTACCTTTTTTTTTTACTGTAGATGAGAGACCTTTACTTCCTTTGTCTCATTAGCAAAAATAATACTTATCTATCAGGATTCCAATAAAGGGTATGATTAACTCATTTAACACACAAAACAGGCTGCATTAAAAATAAAAAATAAAATAAAAAGAAAGATGACAAGTACAGTTTACCTATAGTTTAAATAAGGAGAAGTGGTACTCTCCAGGTATTTTATCAGTACAAAAATTGTGTGAAGGGGTGGAGATCAAAATCAAAAGGACATTCAAACTCGACTTTGACATGTAATGCCCACAGGAGTAGAGTAATTTACATTTCATCTTTCATCCTGAGGAGATGTCATCTGACTAAAAGCTGTGTCAACAAATGTTTCAAGTCATGAGATTTGAATATCAAAGAAAAGAAAGTCTACTGTTCAGGAAGGAGTTCACAGATGCCAATTTACAATTGCTTGTTTAAACCAGGCTTCCATAATCTGGTGTTGTGCTACAACTACTATTTCTGATAGGTATGTGGAAAGCTCCAACATGATCCCATGTTCTGATAACCTTAAGCAGGTCTGAATTTGTAAAAGATCATGATTGAGGCACAATCATAGCATAATCAATCTATGGCTCTCTTTAAATATGGAAACTGGTGATTCATATAGGGAAAGCCTAGAATTTTCTGGCATAGATTTTAATTCTTCTGGATTTGCACTTTAATAAAAGTTTGTGGGATATTTGTTTGTTATTTTTATTCCTTTGCCTAAGTTTAGCCCATCACCCACCTTTGGGTGAGGGCCTGACCTTAATTTTATCTGGGTCGGTGGGCTGCTATATAAAAAGAGTAGTACCCCATGCTTGATCAGAAGAGAATGGAATACCTTACTTTCTCTGTCCAGAAAGGGTATTTCTGGACCCTACCTACCTACTATCTACTACTTATCTTTAATTTTTAAAAAGTGGACAGTAATGTAGGTAAAGTATAAGCTTCCTTATCATATTCAGAAATCAAGTGCAGTCATTACTTGGGAATGAATGGAAATTGACTACAGACAGTATTACTTGAATAATTTACACACTATACTTACTTTTTTATGGAGAGCATGGAATTCACTATATCTTTTTTCAACAAAATGCTTTCTTCCATTCATTAGTACTTCTATCTTAAAGACCTGTGAAAATAAAAGATTACTTTTATGTATTTCCTGATATGTTTGTTTTGTGATCAATTTCTTTGCTTTAATTACTGTAGCCAATCTTTTCTACCTCTAAAACCGCACAACACTCGGGAGATACCAGGATGCAACATTGATTAACGAGCACTCTGATGCCTTTAACCAAGTGTTTCTTTAAATCCATCTAAGGATTAAAATGTCTTGTGCCTAAAAAGTCTATTTTATTCCCTACTCTTATTCCTAGACATTATCTGCATTTGCAACTGAATATTTTATCCCACAGGCAATACAGTGATGGAACTTTATTTTAAAGTGAAAAATAAGTGAGAAACATTTGTGGTTTTTTTGATTCATGTATTATACACGGTACATTCACAACATATAGTGATAGGTGTCCTGCAGGCTACTCTACTTTTTTGTATCTTTACTGCATGAGATATAAATACAAATATTACATCATAGGTTAATTTCTGCCCTAACCTATATACTCATGTTTAGTCTCAGCTGGACCTTTTTTTTGTATTTAAACTACTTTTAAAAATGTGATGCTGACTTGTTTTCTTAGCATGATGAGTATGACAGCTTTGGATGCTGTCTGTACAAGGTTGAAAGGCCAGATGAAGCAGCTCTGTAGATACGCTAATTAGTAGCCACTAACATGACATTTTCTTGATTTCCAGGTCACTAGATCAAATCTTTAGGGCAGGTGACAAGAAATATCTCATTGCTCATGAAAACACAACCTAGTGAAACCAAGATCAAAATTGCATAATAAGACAATCTATTTACAATGAGTAAATATTCTTACCTTCAGAAAAAAAAAGAAAAATAGATTGAGACAGTGAATATAATAATAATAATAATAATAATAATAATAATAATAATAATAATAATAATAATAATAATAATAATAATAGCAGCTATTTTTCCTCCACTCTTGCTCTCAGCACTGGCTCTCCACAGGGTTGTGTGCTTTTGTATTCACTCTACACCTATGACTGCACTCCCTCTTGTCCCACTAACTCTATAATAAAATTTGCAGACAACACCACGTTGGTGGGACTCATATCAGAAGAAGACGAGACGTCCTATAGGTCAGAGGTTCTCAGACTGGTCTTGTGGTGCAAGAGTCATAATCTCGCCCTGAACATCAAAAGACCAAAGAATTGATTATAGACTTTAGACGATGCAAAGCAGAACCTCTCCCACTATATATCAATGGAGATTGTGTGGAAAGAATTCATAGTTTTAAATTTCTAGGAACTCATATTTCCAACAACCTTACTTGGTCGGTCCACACTATGGCCACTGCAAAGAAGGCCCAACGGCGTCTGCACTTTCTGAGGCTGCTGAAAAAGAATGGGTGGAAATTGCTGGTTACTTTTTACCATCGAGAGCATTTTGTCATACTGTGTAATGGTGTGGTATGCTGGATGCTCTGTAGTGGATAAAAGATGCTCCAGAGAGTTATAAACACAGCACAAAAAATCATCAGTTGCTCTCTTTCTTCTTTAGAAGAGATTGCGAAGACCACACTCCTCTCTAGAGCACTAAAAATCTCTACAGACCGTTCTCATCCTGGTTATTCATATTTCAAACTGTTACCATCAGGGAGATGTTATAGGTGTCTTAAAATGAGGAGTAATAGACTGAGAAACAGTTTCTTTTCCAAGGCAATAATTGTCTTGAATCAAGACAATTTGTGATCTAGTCCTATGTATAAAGTGGCATTTTTAAACTATCTAATTTACTATATGTTTTAGATAGGTTTTAGACTAGGTTATTATTATTATTATTATTATTATTATTATTATTATTATTATTATTATACTCTGTAGTGTGATTGTGATGTGGTGTTTGGGGCACTGTGCTGGAGTAGCTTTCAAATTTCATTGTATCTGTAGAATGCAATGACAATAAAGGTATTGTATTGTATTGTATTGTATTGTATTGTATTGTATTCTATTGTATTGTATTGTATTGTATTCTATTGTATTGTATTGTATTCTATTCTATTAATAGATGCTTGAGATTTCTAAGTCTAAAACTGTGTTAAGCATACTTTTTTAAAAAAATGAATTTGTGAAATAATGTTAGGAAATTTTCAAAAAAAGAGAACTATGTAACTTTGTCTGTTACAGATATCTGGGCATTTATTTGGCAATGGAATCCAGCTGAGAGATTGACAGCCAATAACCTGCAATGTTACTTGGAATGCATTCAAGCTTGTTGTCTCAAGGAAGTGGATAAGACTTCCCTATATATATATATTTATTTTTCAAGTATTTTTAAAAGAATGAATTTTGGTGAAATGCACTTATGTGAAAATTTGCAACTTTATTTTGCCTCTAAACCATTTCATATCTATAGCAAATTAGCAAATTTACACAATGCAATAGGCTGTAGTATGATTTGATTATAGCTTGGTGTATTATATGAATCCAACCCAATTTGTAAATCAACATTTATGATTTAACATTATTGATGAATCCATACATAAAACACATTATACAAGCACAACTTAGTAATTATGAGTGAACTGGAACAATAAAGTTATCCAGGTAGTATAGTGGTAAGTAGGTGGCATCAAGTGATTACCTAGTAAATAGAAGCTCAATCTAGAGAAGGCTGGTTTTCTTTATATAGGTATGGCTTTTGAATCAAGGAAGTAAGATATAATAAACCTTTTTTGGGGGGAATGGAGATGAAAAACTCTTTATTAACATTCAGGATCAATGATCAAAGTTCATGAACATTTTTTAAGTTGGAAGATAATTTTGGATGTCCATATTGTATGTGTGGTCTGAAGTTTCTGTATGTCAGGGGTTGTTTTCCAGAAAAGATATGCCTTAAATACGTACTATTACCTATATGCTACTAAACTCTATATCTGAGATATTTTACTTTTAAAAACTCTAAACTAATTGCATTCAGCTTGTAGACTTCATATACTATATAAAGTCATAATGTAGTTTATTTGGCTTTGGTGTTATGTGAATCTAGTAATAATAATTAGTTTACTATAATTATAATTTAGTATGTTGTATAAATTGAGTCAATTGTGGTTTCTTTAAAAACCCAGCAGTAAAACAAGCCATGGCTTAGTGTGATATATGAACATTGTTTCTCTTCTTAACTTAGCAACAATACAGTTTGTTTTTCAACAGACAATACACCTTTATTGCAATTTTATTATTATAATTCTTCAGAATTGTGGTATGCCAGCCAAGAACAATTAAAATTAGCTTTAGGGCATCTTAAAATACTGGTCATACTGAAAACTACATACTTCAAGAGTTTTAGACTTGGCCACATGTTAAATAAAGACATCAAACCAAAGCATGTTCAATTACCTGGACCTTGAAAAAATAAGATCCAGCAGTTGTAATCAAGTCACATTGTGCTGAGATCTTTGCAAATGAAATTATATATTTGAAAGATCTGTACCAAAAGAAAATATTTCTACTTTTGAACAAGTATACACAATTTCATAAACACAACATTATAGATTGCTGTTGAAGTACAAGTTGCAGCAACTGTTTCTCAAAATGATAAAATAGTTTATTGCAATTTCAGTGAATTTTATAAAGTACTATTTAGTTCTTTAAGAATGATATGAGAGGTGGAAGGAAATGCCACACTAAGAAATATCATTCATGATTATTTATGTGTTTTTGATATTCATACATTTTCTGATCTAAAATGAAAATTGGTTTGTTCCTTGCACATTCACTATCATATCTGAAAAAAATACATTGTCGATATAGCAATGCATAAAGACTAAGAATGACCCATAACCACTTCCATTTTACAATTTTTGAACAAAAAAAGTTACTGTATATGCAGCCTCATTTAAAATAGTAACTTGAGAATCAGGACTACAGAGATTTGGTTCACACAATACATCAAGTTCTTACAGAATACTACATTTGGTTAAGTTCTCAGAACGCACTAAGCCAAAATTTAAAGAAGCCATTTTATAATTTATATGTTTCTTGTGTTATTTTCAATTTAAGCAGTATGTTGCGGAGGAGTGAAATATTTTCCCACTATACCAAAGCTATTTTTTTCTTTTCCTTAAATCTGCTTTTTATAACTTTTATTCCCAAGAAAAATCACAGCTTGTGGCATGGCAAAGAAAATCTATTAACAACAAACACATACAAATGTATCTTTCAAACCGCATTCATTTCTCTCTCCATTAATATATGTCATCTTAAAGTTGGAGGATGAAGCATTCATGATGGGTATGCACATATTTAACCCATTATATAATTTGGCTCTTTTAGCAAGGAATATAGAACTTCAATTACTATACATTCTGCTTTTAAAGGTATACTTCGTAAATGCAGCAGATAGAACAGATTATATTTATAATTGTTTGGCAGTCTTTCTCTTTCACCACAATAAAAGTACATTCAGTTCTCAACAATTTTCTCCTACCTGGAACCAATAGTTGATAGTGAAAATAATTACCCATTTAACTGATATAAATGAAGAACAGAGAGTTTTCTCAGATTAACGTGCCTAAAATAGGACATTTTATCTCATAACTATCAAAAGATGGAGAAGAAATACTGAGACCTATTAAATTAAAGTCTTATTTGAAAAATTATTTGTGAGAAATCATAGCAATTTTTTTTATAGATTTTGATAAATATATTTAACAGATGTCTTCATTTAAAGTGAATATTGAACACAGAATAGTAAATCATTGTCTGACTATCCACTATAATAAATGCATTACAAAGTATTATAATAAATACACTATAAACAATAGAAAATTTGAAAAGCAATCTATCTCCCAATACTCTAGTACAAAACAACATCCCCAATTTTTAAACTCTTATTTGGAGTTAAGGCCAAGGGAGGTGGAGGTTCAGGAGGAGGAGGAGAAAGGAGAAGGAGAAGATCACATTTGTATATTTGTGTTCCATATATAGTACAAATATACTGAAATGTTTAAAAACTAAAAACATATCTGTATTTCAAACTCA